ACACATGCCCTACCACTGGGCTATCACACCACATCCAATATAATATATACTTATATATATATAAATAATAAATTTGTCATTGAATAAATAACAAAATAATTTAATAACTTATTATATACTTTCTCTAATTTATTGATGGAGTGGGGATTCGAACTTGGCCTTTGGCCACAAGCAATACATGCCCTACCACTGGGCTATCACACCACATCCAATATAATATATACTTATATGTATATAAACAATAAATAATTTTAACGTTTTCGCACTTTTACTCCTGAATTCTTTGTTGCTTTCCCTTCATTTCATTTGACTTTAGGGTGCTATACATAAAACTTGTCCAGAGTTTTAGACAAGGTGGAAATTTTGTAGTGCCACGGGTTTCAACTTTCAAGTCTACCTCTCTATTACTGGACCTTTGACTATTTTGATATAGGCGCAAATGTGCGACTATATCCATTCCTAAATTCCCAATTTCTGAATCATTTTTGTACAAACTTTCACGATCATGAGTAACATTTTGTAACATTTTCAAAATAGTTATTTTATTTTTTTAAATTGGAGTTGTATTTCTTTTCCATTTCCATTTCAATTCAAGAGTTCTTATTTGTTTCCATGCCCCTTTGAGACTTTTCTTTTATATTTTGACTAGTGTGTCATTTTGAGTGGACTAAATTAGTTTTTGTAAACTGTAAAGGAGGACCCTTTTCTATGGACTTAACTCACGCTCTGCTTAGAAATTTTGTCACAACATGAGTAATGGGTGAAACTCCAAGTTTGCATCTCTAAACAGAGCGATTCATTGAATCTTGCAACTTTTTCCATGCTTTTTCAATCAGTTTACAATCATTCCAGTATTAGGAAGTTGAAACTCACACTTTGCCATCAGGAGATAATGACCTCGTCTTTTCCTTCTGAAACGTTGTTTGATTGAAGCTTGGATTGAGTTTTTCTCTTCAATGGATTCATTTTGTAATTGCTTGTGCACTTGGGTCAATCCAACTTTTTGGTTCAGTTTTTGTAGTAAAGAGAGTGATTTCATGCATTGCTTGCTGGAGTTCAATCACTCATGCTGAAAGTACTCGTCAGTGGGTATTCATGTTTAAAGTTTAGTTATTTAAAGTATTATAAGGAACAGTGTTTTTTTAATTTTGATTGATGATTTCTTGCTTTCTTTTATACTGTCTTGTGCATTTCTTCTGTGTTTTAAAGATTGGCGGAACGTATTATTTATTTTGGCAGCATATATGTCATCTCCCTGCCATATTGAACTGATTCTGTCCGAGAAGGAAGAGCCCGTAAAAAAAGGAGGTAATCCATTTATCACTACTTAATTTTAACATATAATTTTGAGAAAGATTAGTGCTTAGGGCAATGAGGATATAAATTTTCACATATAATTTATTGTTTATATACTTATATGTATATAAACAATAAATTTGCCATTGAATAAATAACAAAATAATTTAATAAATTATTATATACTTTCTCTAATTTATTGATGGAGTGGGGATTTGAACTTGGGCCTTTGGCCACAAGCAATACATGCCCTACCACTGAGCTATCACACCACATCCAATAGAATATATACTTATATGTATATAAACAATAAATTTGCCGTTGAATAAATAACAAAATAATTTAATAACTTATTATATACTTTCTCTAATTTATTGATGGAGTGGGGATTTGAACTTGGTCCTTTGGCCACAAGCAATACATGCCCTACCACTGGGCTATCACACCACATCCAATATAATATATACTTATATATATATATATAATAAATTTGTTATTGAATAAATAACAAAATAACTTATTATATACTTTCTCTAATTTATTGATGGAGTGGGGATTTGAACTTGGGCCTTTGGCCACAAGCAATACAAGCCCTACCACTGAGCTATCACACCACATCCAATAGAATATATATTTTTATATATATATAAAATAAATTTGTCATTGAATAAATAACAAAATAATTTAATAACTTATTATATACTTTCTCTAATTTATTGATGGAGTGGGGATTCGAACTTGGGCCTTTGGCCACAAGCAATACATGCCCTACCACTGGGCTATCACACCACATCCAATATATTATATACTTATATATATATATATATATATAATAAATTTGTCATTGAATAAATAACAAAATAATTTAATAACTTATTATATACTTTCTCTAATTTATTGATGGAGTGGGGATTTGAACTTGGGCCTTTGGCCACAAGCAATACATGCCCTACCACTGAGCTATCACACCACATCCAATAGAATATATACTTATATGTATATAAACAATAAATTTGCCGTTGAATAAATAACAAAATAATTTAATAACTTATTATATACTTTCTCTAATTTATTGATGGAGTGGGGATTTGAACTTGGTCCTTTGGCCACAAGCAATACATGCCCTACCACTGGGCTATCACACCACATCCAATATAATATATACTTATATGTATATAAACAATAAATTTGCCATTGAATAAATAACAAAATAATTTAATAACTTATTATAGATGGAGTGGAGATTCGAATTTAGGCCTTTGGCCACAAGTAACACATGCCCTACCACTGGGCTATCACACCACATCCAATATAATATATACTTATATATATATATATATATATATAATAAATTTGTCATTGAATAAATAACAAAATAATTTAATAACTTATTATATACTTTCTTTTTTTAATTTATTGATGGAGTGGGGATTCGAACTTGGTCCTTTGGCCACAAGCAATACATGCCCTACCACTGGGCTATCACACCACATCCAATAGAATATATACTTATATGTATATAAACAATAAATTTGCCGTTGAATAAATAACAAAATAATTTAATAACTTATTATATACTTTCTTTTTTTAATTTATTGATGGATTGGGATTCGAACTTAGGCATTTGGCCACATGTAACACATGCCCTACCACTGGGCTATCACACCACATCCAGTATAATATATACTTATATATATATAAATAATAAATTTGTCATTGAATAAATAACAAAATAATTTAATAACTTATTATATACTTTCTCTAATTTATTGATGGAGTGGGGATTTGAACTTGGGCCTTTGGCCACAAGCAATACATGCCCTACCACTAGGCTATCACACCACATCCAATATAATATATACTTATATGTATATAAACAATAAATAATTTTAACGTTTTCGCACTTTTACTCCTGAATTCTTTGTTGCTTTCCCTTCATTTCATTTGACTTTAGGGTGCTATACATAAAACTTGTCCAGAGTTTTAGACAAGGTGGAAATTTTGTAGTGCCACGGGTTTCAACTTTCAAGTCTACCTCTCTATTACTGGACCTTTGACTATTTTGATATAGGCGCAAATGTGCGACTATATCCATTCCTAAATTCCCAATTTCTGAATCATTTTTGTACAAACTTTCACGATCATGAGTAACATTTTGTAACATTTTCAAAATAGTTATTTTATTTTTTTAAATTGGAGTTGTACAAACTTTCACGATCATGAGTAACATTTTGTAACTATTCCGAAACGTTATATAATTAAATATATTTTATTTTCTCTAACCACAAGTTAAGATCCTTTGACCAAGGGCCTTATGACAAGTGGTATCTCTTCTATCTCTCAAAGTGGATAGTGAGCAGACACGGGCCTAGCATAGGACCAGTGGGGGTGGATGTCCCCATTGGATTTTTTATATTTTTATTTTATACCTTAAATTTTTTAGAATATTTGAACATGCCCCCACTAAAATTATAATTTGCCCCCACTGAATTATTTTTTTTTGCATTTTATACTTCAAATTTTTGAAGATGCTCACTAATATTACAATTTGACACCACTGATTTTTTTTTTTTTTTTTTTTTTTTTTTTTTTTTTTTTTTTTTTTACTTTAAATTTTCTAAAAAAACTCCATTGAAATTACAAAAATGGACCCACTATATAAATTTGCCCCCCACAAATTAAAAGACCGCTCCTCTCACAAAATTTTCTGGGTCCGTCACTGATGGTGAGGGTTCGAATCTTCAAAGAAGCGAAATGGGTGTGTGAGTTAGGAGTTGACAAATAATCCGTGAGTTCGATTCGATCCGATCTGTGCGGATATATATATTAAAATAATATATTAGTTAATTTAATTAGTTATTGATCATTTAAATATATGAATTAATGGTGATAAATTAAAATTTTATCTATTGGATTATGGTTAAAAAATAAATAATATGAAATATTTAGAAAAAATTCTAATTCGCGGATTTAGTCCGATCTGATCCATCATTCAATGGATTCGATCCGTGAGATAACGAATTGGTGACGAATTCAAAATTTTCCAATTTGTTTGGAGCAAATCGGACCAATCTGTAACCACCCTTAGCATGAATGGTGTGTATAAGTCTCCTGCCAATGACAAAAAAAAAAAAAAAACAAAAACAGCCACTCCTCTGTTCTGTGATTGGAGGGGCACAATAAAAGTTCAATTATATGAGTAGCTTTTTCTAGTCCCAAATAGGACAGTAGGTCCCACCAAAAAAAAATAATAATAATCATTGGCTAAATAATTCCTATATTTTCTTGTCTAGCACGTAAATTAGGATCTGCTTATTAACGTTTTTATTTTTTTATTTTTACTTTTTTCAAAAATAAAATCATACTTCTCATTTTTAAAATTAAAATATAAAATAAAATTATGTTTATTAATTTTTTATGCTTTAAATATTTTTAAAACAAAAAATTAGAAAGCAAGTTTAATAATTATAATTTTAATTTTGGTATCAATTTGACAATCAATGTTATATTTTCTCTATCTCTCTTTCTATATATATATATATATATATATATATATATATATATATATATAGAAAGAGAGATAGAGAAAATATAACATTGATTGTCAAATTGATACCAAAATTAAAATTATAATTATTAAACTTATATATATATATATATATATATATATATATAGTGCACTCTCTCATTCCAGAAGGCAGATATGGAATTTTATTATTTTCATTCCAATCTCTTTGTGGCTGGTGGCGGAATTGCAGCAGTGATTCTTCATATATATATACCTATACAGTGCACTCTCTCATTCCAGAAGGCAGATCTGGAATTTTATTATTTTCATCCCAATCTCTTTGTGGCTGGTGGCGGTCTATTCCGGCGTCAATTGCAGCAGTGTGTGTATATATATATATATATATCATCACTCTGCAAAAGAAAATTTTCCAAAGAATCAGACCCAACACTCCAACTAAACCCCAACGCAACCCCACTCATCCACAAACCCACCTCACCCCAACCCCATCTCAGTCTCTCTCATCACCCTCCTCTTCGTCTCTCTCTCACCTCACCCCACAAGACCCCTAAACCTGGTTCCTCACTTTCCCCACCACTCTCCGCCACCACTACTCCACCGATCGAACCATCAAGGTCCAGACCACCCCAAATCACCCCCCCAATTGAAGTCTTCACCATTCAAGATGGTCGTGGCAGGGGCTATGGTGATAGGTTTTGGCGTGTATGAGAGGAGAGATCTGGTTGTGGCAGGGGCTGTGGTGGGAGGAGGCGGCGGTGGGTGGAGGAGATGGTTAGAAATTTTTTTTTTTTTTTTTTAAACAGTGTTACAGTATAGGAAGTAATTTTCGTGAACAGTATAAAAACCAAGAAAGTAAGGATTTTTTATTTTCTCTTTTCTTTCTAAAATTAGAAAGTATTTTTTTAAAGTTTTAAAAGTGAAAGTATTTTATTAAACAAGATTTTTATTTTTGATTCTCAATTTTAAGAATTGAAAGTAGAAATCATGAATTATTTATGTTACACAGGCCCAACAAGTCAATTCCACCAATATTATCTTATATATCTTATCTAGTTTGTCCTCTGGTCATCTCCTCATATCTTCCATTCCATGGGTAATCCTTTACAATCAGAGGTGAGAGAGTTTAATTAACTTCTTATAATCTCTATTTTTTCCTCCAAATTTGTTTCCTTTTAACTTATTTCTATTTCATTTTTTGCATGTACGTGGTACTAAACTTTCAGTTCATGGCGGAAAAAAATTCACCGGTCATCCCACTTATAGCTGCAACAGTTGCCGGAATCCGGTTGCCCTCCATGACGACCTTAATTCTAAAAAATTTTGGGTGATTAAACATTTCTGATCCTCTAGATCTCTCCCTCTACATATATATATACACACACACACACACTACATACGTGTGTGATCTGATAGCCTGATGCATTAGTTGAAACTTGGGGTTTGTTGATTCAACTTTATATAATTAGTTCATGTTATATTAATCATCAGTCCATTAATTGAGTTGATTTTAGTAACAAGGACTTTTTGTGGAAATGAAGTAATTTGATCCATTATAGAATATGAGTTGCAAGACTGTCTTGTAAAGTCAAGGTCACTGAATTGGCTCTTTCCCCTTAGCCAAACAAAGACTAACACGGTGGAGTCGAGGCCAAGGACCTTCTCTGGAAAAGGAGGTACATTTTGCACACCCACTAATCATTAATTGAGTATTAGTTTGTGGAGGGATAATGATCTTTTTAGAAAAGGAGAGGTCCTGCACAACTACTAAGTATTGGATTGGATACCCCCACTAATAATGATGCCATATCAATGGTTGGTGAGTGTGCAGACCCTCTCCAAGAATGGAGAGGATCCTTATCCGGAGTCGAGATAGTCTCTCTACTCAGCTCGAGTCGATTCGGTCGGTTTCTGAATTTTTTTATTTTTTTATAATTATTAGTTTATGGACACCAAAACCCTTCTAATCATCGTCGTCCGAGTTTATGACTCTCCCCTTGAAACTCCTTAAGCAACTATGTGAGTTCGAAAAGTTTCTCTTTTTCAGGCTAAAAAGTAATCCTACAAGTTTATACCTAGAGACATTCTTGTAAATATGGAGTATTAGTTTGTCTAAGAAATATATATATATAAAACATGAATTATAAAAATTTAACATATATGTATCCCCACTGCACTAATTCTTTAGTATATAAGGGCCCTTAATTACCAAGGATTTTGCTTGCACATTGCCTCATTTTGTAATGTAAATTACATTTATTTTGAAAGTTGAACGCTCCCTCTTTCATTTTGTGAGATTGTATTGACAATATTGTGCTACAACTCTTGATGGTAGCTCAATGAGAGCATCTTGGATTGGAGAAGATATTTGGTGAGCTCGGCATACTATGTTATTAATTGCTACAGGTCTCAACACTTGAAAAAAAACTACTTTGCATAAACTCATTTGTCAATTTTTCATTAGCTGAAAAAAAACTACTCTGCAGAAACTCATTTGTCAATTTTTCATTAGCTGAACGTACTAATGACGTGGTATACCTTGCTCACTATGCATACTCTTTGGATATAAACATATATACACACATGCATGTATGTGTATATATATATATATATATATATATCAAAATGTGTGTGGTTGTGGAGTAGTTTTTGTTTACTCCAAGCTCCTCCATGTTACATTGGTTTCTGATGATCAGGCAAAATCTGGAAAAGCCTATATGTTCTCTCATGCGATGAACATTGTTGTGGGACACAAAGAAGACAAACAGCTGATGACTGGTGTTTTTAGTGTTGCGGATATTTTCTGCAGCAATTGTGGTGAGTTGTTGGGTTGGAAATACGTTCGAGCTTATAGTTATGATGCGTGGCAACGATTCAAGGCAGGCAACTTCATTATTGAGACTGCTAAGATATTGAAGGGATTTTAATTCGATCATCACAAACTCATATATATATATATATAGCTTCCACCTTATTCTGTGTAACATATATGATATATGTAAGTGTGTTGGATCATGGAAAATAACTAAATAACGCATCTCTTGTACAATAAAACCATATGCTTATAAAATGTGTTGGCCTAGGTATCTTCAGGTATATATAAATTCTCTTTTTAGGTGTTGTTTGATAACACAATTTTAATACTTATTTTTTTTATTGATTAAATGTGTTTGATAATGTATTTTTAGTGCTACTTAAAAATATACTGTAATTGACAGTTAAAATGATGCAAGATTTTAAGTGACAATAAATTCACTTACAATGCTTAACACTTACACTATTTTTTAATAACTTGGGTTACTAATGTTAATACGTTGGGTTTGCTTTTTTGGAATCGGTATCAGTTGCGTACGTTCTCCTGATTCACAAGAAATGCCCTCCTTCTAATTTTTTGTATCGAATTTCAATACAATCAAAGTTTTAAAATCTATTACCAACTTTAGTCCTCGCGGTTATTTCTCTAACTGCACCCAAAAACTTGATGTATTGAAGATTGAATTTTTTGTTTTCTCCTAATTAAAGATTTGATCTTTAATCTGCCTATCTTACCACAAAGAACCAATACCAACAATTGACTATCAAAACTCCATGAGCTTGATTCAATTGTGTTCAAACTTGAATTGAAAAATCTTCTCTTCAATCCTTGCCACCCTTTCTTGAAGGGTAGCTCCAAATCTTACTCATTATATTATGCGGGGCATTAGTGTTGATAACATTTTTAGACAGTAATTTCCCAAGAAGACAATTCAAACACCATTCCCCCCCTCCAACCCTCCTTCATCAATCTGTTTAATGTAGGTGGAGAGACTCTTTGATTGAAAGACAAATGGTTAACTATGAGAGAGAAAGAGACAGATTGATTGAGGGTTAATCAAGAGAGAGAAATAGAGAACATGGAAAGAAGAGAGAAAAAAACTTAATTTGTTTTCTTACTTGTAAATGATTCTTTCTTAATTAATTCTCTCTCCCAAATCCCTAAAAATAGGAATCGTGTGGCATATAAGCTCGAACTCTTTATATTTTTTGCGAGAGCGCTCTCGCAATAACACTACTCTTTATAATGGCTAAAAACTTCTCGCAATAGCACTACTTTTTGTTGCAGTGTTTATTGTTGTCATGTTGTGTGGTGTAACGAAGATAAAATGGTTAATTTCACTGACACCCCCTTAGGTTTGACTAAATATCACCTAGAAACATCTTTCGAAAAATATTATCACTTACAACCCATATCACTTTTCCGTTACTAACACCGTTAAAATGGGTTTGGAATAACATTTTTACCCTTATTTTTTTAATACTTTTTATTTTAAAACCTATAAGGTCAAAATTACCCCCATCATCCTCATCCTCACCCTCATTCACACATCCTCTCTTCCATTGCCAGATGAGTCAAACTTTTAGCTAATCTAATCAAATTAGCATAACTATTAAGAAAAAATCAAATCAACACAACAGAGTATACAATAACCAACAATTCACACAGATTAATCAAATACATCTTAGAAAAAGAAGAGAAACCAATTAATCAAAACCATATTACATAATAAATAAGAATGATAGAGAGAAACAAACGATTGAAAGCAAAATTTACAGATTCATAGTTAAGAATAGTAGCAAGATTAAACTCCAAGAATGATAGAGAAATAATCAACTTGAAGGGAGATATTTCTTCTTCGCCATTACGAAGTTCACCTTGCGCCGCCGTGTCCCTCCTCTTCTACCACACCCTCAAACAACCCCTTAATTACCACAACCTCATCGGGATCCCCAATGCCGGGGAACTATTGAGTTTTTGTCTCCAAGAACGTCAATGAAGAGATGACCTTTGCTGAGACCAAGAAGTCGATTTGTTTGCTCTAAGAACTTCTGGGCTTTCACCTTTTTGATAAAGGAAGCCGTTTCCAAATCAGTTCAATCTCTGTACACACACATACACACACCCACACACATATATATCACCATCACCACTTCTACCACCATAATCACCACCCAATCCGACCCACGATGAACCTAATTGAACCAAAAGGAACCATAAATGAAACCCAATTCACACACAGAGAGAGAATATCTCAAATCCTTAATCCGAAACCCCATAATCCTTTGTTCCTTCACAACCCTTGAACACCCACAGTAAAACTCAAAATTCAAATCCCAAATTGTTGATATTTTTCATCAATTTTCTTGGTTGTTTCTTATTTTTCCTTTATTTTTTCATTTTCTCTCAGGGTTAGAGCACAGCGGCAGTGGTGTGTTCATGGCAATAGCTGTTTGCCAAGAGCGTGATTCACGACGACAAATTCAAGGCCCCATGGTTAACGACAACCACGATGGTATTTAACACTTTTGTAATATATATATACACTATATAATACTCATATATATATATAATTGTATATTTGCAAAACATTTAGGGATAGTTTAGTCTTTTAGTATATTTCTTTAGGTTAAAGTTTTTTTTGACAAAGTCAAAGGGCATTTAAGTCATTTTATATGGTGTCAGATATCTAAAGATAACAGTTGTGGTGTGAGTGAGAAATGGAACAAACGTTTGTAGTATAAGTGATAGTAATTTTCAAAAATTATTTCAAGGTGATATTTAGCCTAACCTGAAGGGGTGTCAATGAAATTAACCCATGATAAAAAGATCACAACATGTTTTGAATTGTACCTCGAAAAGAGACCTTAATAGGCTAATCGGAAACAAAAAGCTGAAATTTCTTAATATTTTCGCATTGCAGTAAATAGAGGTGGCCCTTTTTTTATGCAACATTTTATAAAACATGTTTTCATATTTTTACTTTTGAAAATCTTACAACATATGCTATGTTACCAAACATGTTTTTAGTCACAAACAAACACACTCCACAACAAAAATTTTGTTTATATTTTGAGCTAGAAGATAAACCCAAAACGAAAATTATTGCCAAATTAACGCGCCTGTTTTGTTTTGAAAATGATAATTGTGGAATTCTGTTCAAATTTTCGGTTAACAAAGTCAAAGTATATGTATATATTTCTTGAGTTTGAGTAGTCGGAAGTATACGAATATTTTATATGAATCGGAGATAACATCATCGCGACGTCATTAAATATAATGATATCATTAAAACGTTTTACTTACATAGTTTTAGTCACGACTCTATATCATTATATATATATATATATATAAAATAATTGATACACTGGACTCACCGACTAACTAAAAGTTAGTTGGAAACTTTGCAGAACCATGGATGTAAAATACTGAAAACTAGGCGTGTTTAGAACTTTAGACAAAGTAGGGTGGAATTTTGTGGTGTCGAGGTCTTGAAGCTTACGACTTTTTATTTTTTGGCAAAAATATTTTTTTAAATAAAGACGACAACGATGACACTACGTAAAATTTTGGAAATTTGAGTTCAAAATAGAAGATCCAAGTATGTGAGAGAAAACATATTTTATATGGAAGTTTGATTGTTGCAAAAGAAAAAAAAAAAAAAAAAAAAGTATAGCTCATTGAATATCCCTTACGTCTAAGTCTCCTCCCAAAAATTCTAGAAATTTATTTATATTTTTTTTTTTGTTGAAAATTAAAATTACAGAAATTCAATCACATGAAACCATAAATATTTTTGTGGAAGAATTGAACATTATTTCAAATATTATTGTATCTTTTGCCTCCGAGGACTTCATTGCTTCTCTTATGCTATCTCTAGTCTTATTTACTTGGATTTGGTCAATTTGGAAAACTTGCAATGTTTTAGGCTCATTAGGTTTTTTATAAGCTTTGGTCTTCTTCAAGCTAGTTCACACACTTATTTTATTTATTTAATTATTCTTCTAGAACAACACAACTATATTCTCAAGCATCTGATAAATTTTATATGATTGTTAGATGGAGAGTGATGGAAATTCCAACCAAGTTACCTCAAATGAAAAGTTCTTGAAGGCAATTTGGAATTCTATGGCATATGAGGATTTCATAGATATTTGTGTAGAGGAAGTTTGAGTTGGTAATAGGCCAAGTACGCATTTTAATAAGGTTGGTTGGAAGAATGTGATAGAAATTTTTTCCAAAAAAACTGGAAGAAGATATGACCAAAAACAACTAAAAGATAAGTGGGATGCTATGAGAAAAGAGTGGCAAATTTGGAGCAAGTTGGTGAGCTATGATACATGAATCGGTTGGGATCCTATTAAAAAAACGATTATGGCAACGGACGAATGGTGGAAAGACAAACTACAGGTGTGTAGTAAATTGCATTTTATCTCTCTCTCTCTCTCTTTTATAAAAAAAAAAGTGCTAATAATTTTGTCAATACCTCTTATTTTATATGTTTAAGTTATTCCAGAAGCTGCAAAATTTCGTGAAAAGGGATTGGAGCATTGTTTTAAGTTAGATGCGTTATTTATGGATGTGGTGGCAACATGAGATAGATCTTGGGCACCATCATCTGGTGTATTACCTAGTTTAATGATAAAGATTTTCAAGATGATGATTCAGATAGAGATGGTAACCAGTTTGAAGGATTTGAAAA